TCGCTCGTTATCGCCTTCTATTTGATCTTGCCGATGCGTCTGTTTGTGGATCCAAGCTTGACACCCCGCATCCGGTTTGTGGATGAATGGGCCCTGGGATTGCTCTACACAAAGATCATCATGTTCGTCCAGCGGACCCAGCCGCCGAATCCCATCTCCAGAGGGATACAACATGTGCGTTTTCTGTTCTTTGTGATATTCTTTTCCGTTTCCTGATGGGTTGTCAGATCAAGAACAACGGGTGGACACATCCTGAGCCGTTGACGGCCACAAAAGAGGTTATTGGTCCTCTGATACTCGGTCTGGCGGGAATGATCGTGCTCCCCGGTGGCGCGTTCCTATTGGCGCAGCGGTACTTGCCATTTGTGCCTCAGAACAGCACTCGCATCTTATGTATGTCGATTTGCTCCCACTCTTTATCTCGCCATCTCTTACGCTCTTTGCCCTCCCCCAGTCATGGAAGTTTATCCCATCATCTTCGCGACAGTCGCCGGTCTACGCTTTGGTTCTGTCTTGTTTGAGATATTGGGTGTCTGGTCGCAGTCCATCCGGGATAAAGAGTTCTTGGTCGAGATGCGCCTGAAGAACCATGAGCCGGAGGGCAGCTCGTCTCGTCTAGAGACACGTAACCCCGTGGTGGTGCAGAAGCGCCCGGAGGAAGCGGAAGAACCAGAGGGGGAGGATCAACCCGAAGAGGAGGAGGAGGACATGTTGCACTAGCATTGTATGATTTTGTATAGTTACACATCTGAACGCATCCAGAAACAGACAGTTGCGGTTCATCGCGTGCTCACGTGATCCACTAACGAGGCATGCCGTCACCGTATTACCGACTCCTGAAATCAGACTTTACGACGCAGGGTCATGCTTGACCGTGTCCAATTCTCTTTCTCGAACTTTTCTTCGCCTCTGTCTTTCAAGTCTACCCGTCTGGTCTCGTCTTCGCCCCCTGCTGCCCCGGATGTGGGGCCACGCCAGCATGGCGCTGTCCTACCGACGGAACTGATGGAGCGCATCATTGACTTTCTATGCAACGACAAACGTGCTCTCCTCGCATGCAGTCTGGTCTGCCGCAACCTGTTCCCGACAAGTCGGTGGCATCTATATACGCTCCTGCCGGTTGTTCCTGTCTCTCTTACGTCGAGTGGGCTTGGGGGAAGGAAGATCAACACTGCGGTCGCGCTGAGTAAGTCTTGCGTTGGAGTGCTGCTCTCTTTCCGATAGATGAGTTATTAATGCGATGGGAGCAGCCAACGGGACTGTGTTGTATGGGACCAATGACGGTGTGTACGTGTCGGACCCGGGCAGCGCGCTCAGGCGCGTTGTCAAAGCGTCCAGTGCTGTATCTCAAATCGACGCGCTAGAAAGCCACAATCTGCTGCTCATTCTTTCCGGCGAGTCTGCGTCCTTCGGAGGACTTCGTGGGCCTGCTGCTGACGCTCCGTCCAGGCCGACGTCTTTTGGGCGGCCCATTGAGCATCATCCGGAGACACCCGTCGACACAGCAACAGCCGTTCACACTCATCTCGTCCGATGTCTCGTTCTTCAAAGTGGGCGATCATGGCGGGAAGCGCATCATCTGCGTCGTCTGCTCGGGCCGCTTCACGAGCCACTACGAGCTCATGGAGGTCCTGCCCGTCGCGCCGGACGGTCGCCAGCGCCCCGTCGCGCAGCCGTTCCGCTCGTTCTACCTGCCCGAGCGCGCGCATGCCGTGCACATCGGAAACAAGACGATCGCCGCTGCGCTGCGCTCGGGCTTCCAGTGCGTCGACCCGCTCTCGCTCGCGACGTTCCCCGTCCCCGTCGATAACGACGGCCCGCACCCCAGGCGCGGCGACATGAAGTGCCGCGCGATGTTCCGGGTGGATCAGTCGCGCTTCCTGATGTGCTACGACCAGTGTGCGTTCTACATGGACCGGACGGGGATACCGTGCGAACCGGAGCTCGCGATACGGTGGGCGGAGACGGCGAAGCAGTTTGCGCTGGTCACACCCCAGTTATTGTTGGCTTTTACCAGGAGCGGGATGCATGCGTGGAGGGTCGATACGGGGGAGCGGGTGCAGACCGTCCATGGGATGGGCATCCGGCTGCTCTCTGTGGCACCCAGCGTGCTGATCAAGCTCAAGGATGGGACCGTCGTCGCCCTCAAGTTCACCGAGTCCCGGTAGATCTGCCAAATTATATATGTAACTCTCGTTCTGTACAGATTACACTACATTCATTACGGATTTTGTATCAGAGCCCAGTCGAGCCAGATTCTGCGCACCCAGCGTCGTCGTCGTGTGATTCCGCCGGCACTAGGGGAGTCGACGCTGTTTGCAGGTCGTGGGGAGCTCCACGAGTCATTGGAATACACCCAGCCATCTGGTCAAACTCAGCACCGCCGCAGATGCGGACAGCAAACCAACGCACCTTCGTCTCCGAGCTCTAGATCGCCATCTGACGCGTGTGAAGTGCGTACCCAAGATGCTTCCAGATCAGGACGCCAGTCTTCGGTTAGCACGAACGACCAGCCGTGATCGAGCGTGAACGTGAGGTTGCTGCTATCCGCGGTCATGAGCGGGGGAATGATAAAACAGAGGCGATAAAGCAGCTGGAGACGCACTTGACACCGCCCTGCCCGCCGAGACCGCTCCATCCGTCGCGGCCACGCGTCCACGCCGCACGCTCGCTGTCGCGCAGATTCGCCTTGCTCCACTCGGGATGCACGCCGTCCCCGGAGGCTGTCCCGTACCGCTCGTTCTCCCAGAGCTCGACCTCGCGCATGTCGGCGACCCAGCACTGGTCCGTGAGGTTCGCGTCGTCCAGCACGCGCACCGCGAGCGCGGACCACGAGCGCGGCAGGGCCGAGCCCCCGCTGTGGGCTCTCCACGCCCATTGCCGGAGTCGGCTGAGGACCGGACTGGCGTCAGCGTGCGTGTGCATGAATGCGATGATCGCGGGCAGATGCGTCTGCACGAGGGGGTGGGTGAAGGCGAAGGGAAGGATGCCGGCGAGTAGAGCGACTGTTCTGACGGGGAAACTGGGGAGAGAGACGAGTGCGAGGGCCGGGAAGAGCGAGAAGACGAGGACGGTGAGGACGTGTGGTGTCTGCGGGGAGCGGTTTGTGATGTAGGGAAGATACCGTTGGACGAAAACCTCGGCATCGGCACTGGAACCGCGATTAGTTGAGACCGTCTCGAGCTTGAACAGAGAGACGCACACGAAGCCCATGAGGTTTTGAATTGCTTGAATGTTAGCCTGCCAGTCGACTGAACCCGTTTCAGCCGTGGCGTCTGTCGCTGGCGGGGGCTTGCCAGTTGTTGTCGGGTGGGTCGCGAGGATTATTGCAATCAAGAATATCTGGGGCAATAGAAACAGCAGTCTGGGGAAGAAACCTACATAGGATGAGACTTTTGTTCGCAGACCGAAAAGAAGAAAACGCAACGCACACAGGAACGCGTAGGCAGCAATCCACACGCCCGTGACTTTCCATCCCCGCCGCCACATCACAATCTCCTCAATCCTATCCTGGAGCCAGAACACCGGCCCGACCCGCTCGACGAAGCGCTTGAAGTTGACCGTCAGGATCGGCACGGAGAGCGGGTCGCGTGAGGACAAGAGGGCCGCGACATCCTGCTGCTTGCCGCGCGGATTCGGCGCATTTGGGCCCGAGTGCACCGCACTCGAGGGTAGTGTCGACAGCAGCAGCTGGGGGAGGAGATTCACGGCGTTCTTGCCCGGGGAGCCTGTGGATGAGCTGGAGTCCGAGCGGCGGTGCAGGACGGGCGGCGGCGGGTGTGGCACGGACGTGACGACGGGGAGAACGCGCTTGAGGGACTTGGGTTCGTCTTTGTTGGCCGCCCCGTCCTTGATCGGGGCCGAGGGTCGCAGGCGGGAGGCCGACGCGGGGACGTCGATGTAGTCTAGAGTTGACATCACAGCGATGACGTGGTTGGCAGCTGTCAAAGCACTTGGTCGAGCAATGGGTGTGCAAGAATGGTCGACCCGCCGGGCCGCAGTGTTCATTCAAGGATTTTGCTCCACAGAGCAGTTCCTGTGGATTGAATCCCGAGAATATCTCAGCAGTTTCCTTCTTCGAATGATGGGGTATGCAAGGTACTCGAGAGTGCGCCTCAAGTGCGCCTACATAGCAACTCGTGGTGGATGCGGTGACCGCTGCTGACCTAAGCAAAATCGATCGGCACCATTCTGGGACATGATCTCCTTCTCTGGCGTGTCCCAGGACCTGCGAAATTCCCGCCAAATGTTAGCCCCAAAATCGGCCGTCCGGCCCGATATTTGTCCAACGCACATCGGGCCTAAGCCCCGGATTTTTGTCCAACCTGTACATGACCTCCAAAAAATCGTTTTTTTGTATGTACATGCCTATGGAATTGAAAATCCGAGCTCTACAAGCATTTTAAGCGCTATCCAGCCTATTCATCCTCCCCTTCATCTCGAGCACGTTTATTGAAGTTTTTGGGAGGATTTTCGCAACTTCAGCTGGCGGCGGCGTTAAAGCTCGATTCTTTCCTTATATAACTTCCCAAGAAATGTCGTTGTCCCGCTCTTTTGCCCAATCCGTACACTTGCATCGAAGGGTACATCATCTTTGATAGTGATGACAGTCACCATTCGAGAGGACCGGCACTTGAGGGTGCGCTCCCGACAATGCTGAGGACGACTCGGGGGTAATATATATGAGAGAAGCGATTGGTGAATGATTTTCGAGCGAATTTACACGAACTACTCCAAATATGGTCCGGAATTGAACGAGTGTCTCGATTGAAGAAGCACTAATCAACAAAAATTGATCTATTTGGGGTAAATCGGGGTCAGACCAGACCGGACTGGGGCGAATTTTTGTCCAACCCCGTGACCTAAGTATCGCCGAATGGAGCCGCAGTTTTTGTCCAACACCCGACTAATTTGGGCTAACATTTTCGACCCCTCCCCACCAAAAATTGTCCAACAGGGGGCTAACATTTGGCGGGAATTTCGCAGGTCCTCGTGTCCCACTCAGCTGTCTGATAGACTCACTTTATCTCGGGGATCAGACGAAATGCACGCCTATGCACACTTAGCCGACCGAACCAGTATAGCCGTCTGACCATCTTTGCACGCGACCACGAGAGCTGAGCCCGCGATATCCGCTATTGAGAACTCGCCAAGGTTCTTCTCCTTATGTTCTGGGCTTTATCCTCATAAAGACGCGTGGAAGAACCTCCGCCATTTCCACGACAACAGTCGACCCATATGTTGACTAGTCTTCTGGAGGCGATTCTTCTTATTCCCGCGTGCTGTGTTTCCGGACGCATGCTTTGCGATAACGCAGATGCGTCCGGCTTATATGCAGTGTGTAACCGAAGAGACTCTCCTCGCTGCTCGACACCATGTTGTGGCTCCCGGCTCTCGCTCTCGCTCTTGCTCAGATCTCGGTGGCGAAACCGGTTGTGAACAAACGATGGGACGACATGGCAGTGAAGCACGCGTGGGCGGAGGTCCCCAGCGGATGGGAGTACCATGAGGCGCCGCCCGCAGACCACCTCATTGAGCTGCGTCTCGGGCTCAAGCAGGACCGCATCGATGAGCTCATCGAGGCGCTGTACCAAGTCAGCGATCCGTCGCACGAGAAGTGAGCAGGACAATCAATCCAGCCGAGCCGAGCCACGGACACTGATTCGATTGCGATAAGGTACGGCCAGCACCTGTCGAAGGAGAAGGTCGACGAGCTCGTCGCCCCGCACCCTGACTCGCTCGAGGCCGTCGAGGCGTGGCTCCGGCACCACGCGATCGACCCCGCCTCGGCGCACTTCCGCTCCGGCGGCGGCGAGTGGGTCACGTTCCACCTGCCCATCTCCAAGGCCGAGCAGATGCTCGGCACGACGTACGGGGTGTACCGCCACGCGGCCTCCGGCTCTGACGTGGTCCGCACGATGTCCTACTCGCTCCCCCGCGAGCTGCACAGCCATATTGATGTGGTCACCCCCACGACGTACTTCGGGACGATGCGCAGCATGCGCGCGACGAGCTTCATCAAAGCCGGCGCCCCAGTCGTCGAGACCGACACGGCCGCCGAGGAGCTTGCGCTGAATCCGTTTGCGGTGCCGTCCAGCTGCTCGAGCACCATCACCCCTGCCTGCCTGCGCGCGCTGTACAATACCGCTTCGTGAGTGCAGGATCCGTCGTGTGGTGAGACCCTCCTGAAACAGGGCAGATATGTTCCCAAGGCTGCTGCTACCAACAAACTCGGCGTCGCCGGATATTTGGAGGAGTTTGCCAATGACGCTGGTGAGTGCCGACGGTATCTTTCGGGCATGTTCATGGTTGATTGATATCCTGTAGACTTGCAGGTATTTCCGGATTGCTCCCAAAATATAGCAATATCACTTATGATCGGCTTCAGACATTCTTCAGGCGATTCCGGACTGATGCCACTGGCGGCACGTTTACTCACGTGCAGCTCAATGGAGGTCTGAACACTCAGTCGGACCCTGGAACGGAGGCTAACCTCGACATCCGTGCGTACCTTCTGGGTTTCAAAATCTTTCCTTTCTCTCTCTAATAACTGCTCCAGAATACACCGAGGCGATATCGTTCCCGACTCCCAACATCTACTACAGGTACGTCGCACCATGCCATCCACGTGGCGAAGTGCTGACCGCCATCAGCACCGGTGGATCCCCTCCATTCAAGACCGATTCTGCCACTCCTTCCAACTCCAACGAGCCTTACTTGGATTGGCTGAACTTTATCCTCAACTCGACGACGATTCCTCAGACTTTCGTAAGTTTGATCTGACATTCCCACGGTTGGACTTTAGTTGATGGGATCATTCGAGACCACGAGTTACGGTGACGACGAGCAGACTGTACCCATGGACTACGCCATCAGTGTTTGGTAAGTCGCGAGTGCCGGAAGAGCCGAGGAAAACTGAGTCAGCATTAGCAACCTGTTTGCGCAACTGGGTGTCCGAGGCAGCAGCATCATGTTCTCGTCGGGCGATGACGGCGTCGGCGCCGGCACCTGCCGGACCAACGACGGCACCAACAAGGTCCTCTTCCAGCCGGCGTTCCCCGCATCGTGCCCCTTTGTCACGACCGTCGGCGGCACCTTCCGCGTCAACCCGGAGGTCTCGGCGAGCTTCTCCGGCGGTGGATTCTCACGGTGCGTCGCGTGCAGGGCTCCTCCCTCCTCAGGCTCATCAAGGAAACAGGTACTTTGCGCGTCCGTCGTACCAGAGCACGGCCGTGTCCAAGTTCGTGACGGGACTCGGCACGAAGTTCGCCGGGCTGTACAACACGACCGGCCGCGCGTATCCCGACGTAGCCGCGCAGGCGGAGAACTTCCAGGTCGTTATCGGCGGCGGAGTCAAGTGCGCGGCGCCGTTTTTGCGGGAGCCCGAGTGTGCTGATGTGTGACCTTCCAGCTCGGTGTTCGGCACATCCGCGGCGTCGCCGACCTTCGCAGGCGTCGTTGCGCTGCTGAACGACTTCCGCCTCTCGCAGGGCAAGGCCCCGCTGGGCTTCCTGAACCCGCTGTTCTACGGGACGGCGGTCTCCGGCTTCAACGATATCACCTCCGGGTGAGCAGCCCGCCTCTTCCTCCCGCCCCTTCCCTTGCTAATTGCGCCCAGATCAAACCCGGGATGTGGCCAGACGTGAGTGCTTCAGTTTCGTTTCGTTTCGTGCGGTTGACTAAGCGTGATGACAAGTGGCTTTACGGCGGGCACTGGCTGGGACCCGGTCACTGGTTTGGGCTCGCCCGACTTTTTGCGTCTGCAGGCGCTTGTGTAGGGAGCGGGGCATGTAAGTGTCGTATTCTATGTATTGTACGACAAGAAGATTATATAAATGTCGGTGTCTATCCGGATCGACCGGTTCGTCAGGTTTTGCCAGTTCAAGTCTACACGTGATCTGGCGCGACGCAAGAGCGCAGATTTTGCTGGTCTTTAGCCATTCATCCTAGGCCCAGACTCCATTCACACTTTTTCGTGTTCCATGGCGGCTAGCCGCTCCTGCTCCATCACAATACTCGAGAACCGGCTCCGCGCGCGTATCCGGGGGCCGTAGAAAAACAACACAAACGGGATGGGGACCATGACCGTGGCGATGAGCGCGAACATGGTGTTGGCCCACGTGTAGCCGAGCACCGCGAACATGTGTTTCGTGAACAGCGGGAACACCGTGCCGAGCAGATTCCGGCAGAGGCTCTGCCCGGCGAGCGCGGAGGAGGCAAAGGGGCCGTAGCAGTCTGCGAGGTAGGAGAACACGGCGAGGTATACCATGAACGTGGCCCAGATGTAGAGCTGGACACGCGATTAGTTGGAAAGGAGAAAGGAAATTGGGAGAAGCTTGGACGGACCGTGACGGCGATTGCGAGCGAGATCCAGGGGATGCGCGGGAAGGAGCACCAGGCGTAGATGAACATCGCCAGGGGAAGCACGACGGCGGCAGCACACGCGCAAATGAGCCTCGCTTCGGGGCCACGCCTGCTGTAATATTTCCTGGGAAAACATGAGCATTTGCCTAAAATCTGGTGAATTGAGACAAGAGCATACCGGTAAAGATGCTCTTGGTAGAAGTTGGTCAAGAATCCGAGGGAGGCACCGATACTGTCCGAGATTGAGTGGGATCAGATAGCACTGATAGAGTAGACTCTCACACGAGCGTCAGGAAGACCGTGCCCTCCTGTCCGATGTTGAAGTTGTGGAGATTAGAGAATTCTCCCGGGATAGATCTGCGCAACTAGTTCTAGTGGGACGGAGGTGAGGATGAGATTCCAAACCCACTCGATCATGCAAAACATCACGCCCCAGAGGAAGCCGATCCAAAGCTGCAGAACTATTCAGCCGTGGCGTGAGACATGAGTCTGCGTGACTGACACTGAAACTGGAGACGACGGGCTCAGTGAACAGCAGATCTGGAGATGCAATCAGACATCTTATCGAGAAACACTCGACTACATGGCATACGGATTGGTCGGGTGCAGGAGATATATATTAACGTCGACAGCTTGATCTTCTCGTCTTCGATCCTTGCACGGTACCTGTGATCGCCGGTCTCTTTACGGACTTTTTGGGCGAGGCGGACGAGGAGAATCGACGATCGCGTCTCGCGCATGACCAGAAGGACGATGACCGTGTAAACGCCACAGTATCTGTTGCGATGTGAGATCTCATTAAATGTTGGTAGAGACGCGACTTCACATCATTTGTATCCATTCGATCCATCGCCACTCTAGTCTGGAGTTCATCTCCACCCAGCCGTAGACAACAGGAGCCAGCCCGGTCCCACCCAAGGAAGCGAGAGAGAAGATGGCCATGGGCAGACCACGTCTATGTAGGGTATCGGAGTTGTGCAAGTGGCCAGGAATATCGAGACTTACTCATGTGGCCGCCAGATATCTACACATGGTAAATGAATAGCCTCTGGAAAGCACATCAACTGTGCGTACCTGCAATTGTCCCACCGACCATCGTAGCCCAGGACGATCCAAAACCGCCCTGGAGGAACCTTGCTATAGTCACAGTCTGAATATTCTTAGCTCTGCCCTCCGCTCAGACCGGTCAATTATTCTCGGGCCTGGGAGACTCACAGAGCAATGGGGAGATAGAGGATGGTAAAGCCGATCGCTGATGCGATGTATATCGGCTGCCGGCCGACTTCCTCGCTAAAACTGGACGAAACGAGCGGGACGAGACTGAAGCCGAGAGGGAACACGATGAACGCGACGGTGGCCTGGAACTCCGTGCAGTTCAGATCCCGCTGGTGTCGATCGGTCAGCCCCCTATTCTTCAATCGTTGTGGGAATTTCACCGTCATGGAAGCCGTCCCCATCGTGAAAGCTGTGGCCGAAGAAGCTGGGAGACGGATGAATAATACTCGGCAAGTTGAACAACGTGAAAACGGACCGGCCATCAGCGTCGAGAAACACGCCAGTGCCGTGACGACCCATTTCTTCGAGTTGGGCCAACACACGGGGTCACGCGGGTCGTTTGGCTCAAACTCGAGCTGCGGGACATATTCAGAAATGACTCTCTGCGAAGATTCGGTCGATTGAGCGCACGTAGATCGCCTCTTCGCACTTTCCCACGTCCGATTTAACTGATCCCAGCTCCGCATCCTGCACCGAGGTCAGTCGGGCTGCGCGCGGGTCGTCCGGGAGTGCGATCCGGGGGTCGAGGCTCGGTTCGTGGACGCTGCTGGCCGTCTTGAGCGCCAGGCCATCCACTGAGTGCCGCGGCGTGAGCGTCGGGCTGGTCTGTGCGCTGGCGTCCATGTCTGGTAAGGAAGAAAGCAGCAACAGAGTGCGGGCGCCCGTCTCAAGGCGATCCGGCGAATATATGAGTCAAGATCCAGCTGCGAGTGTCATCCCGCATGATCTTGGGACCAGGAGGGGTCAACTTGAAGCGGCCGGATGATGATGATGGGACGTGATCGAAATATGGGGCCCCAAGATGGAGTGGTCGCCCTGTTTGCCGGCAGCGTGCGATGCTCCGACCCGTCGAAACACCGAAATCACAGCCCTTCTGATTGAGTGAGGGTCAATCTGGAAGCTATCGCTCCCTCCCACTGCAACTATTCAAGACACGGAGAAGGTTGAGTCTATCCGGGCCGGTTTTCCGGTCTCATGCACGGTCCGATCAATTGCGTGTGATCCGTTCCAAATTTCTCCAAGACAAGGAAAAGATCAAGGTATCCGACAAACACCAAGCCATCCAGTGTCCTGAAGTAGTATATATGGTTTTGAAAATCCGAGAAGATCGAGTCGAATCAGTGCACTCGATTGCACCTGTTAAAGAGTGTACCGCAGAAATCGACATCGCACCCGGGCGCCATCCACTGGTCCAAGAGGTTTCAGAGCAGCAATTTCACGGATCCTGCAAAAACTCCCTCATTGGCCAAGCTGCGGGGCCCGAGACTCATAGTCGCCATTGCCGATTCATAGGTTCAGGAACGCGAGCGTTACACAGTCACGGGTCGTGGTCGTGACTGATGGCGCCGTCATCTCTCATCTTCCCATCCCCAACAACCATGACCGTGAGTCCATCGAGTACAGACCGATCGCCCTCCTCATTCACCGTCCAGGATCTTACATATTGCTACCTTCACATGTCGCACTACGACCTCATGGTCATAGACACGTTGGAGACCACGGAGTATCTCAGAGGAGACCCCATTGTGGATGGCAAGCCCACACGTGTACCGAGCCGCGTGTTGCGCATTGACATCGCGCTTTAGATCTGGACATCCCAGTGCACATGGTGCCTCCCGATCCCGAGACCTCTGAAGGTACGCGCGCCACGTCGCTCCACTAACTCGCGGGCACTAAACCCCCAGCAGTGCTCCCCTCGCAAGCCCACCCCTCGTACCCGTATGGCGATCCAACCGACCCGAAGCACCCTGCGTCGCGCCCCCGCCCGCCATACGACCCCCAGTCCCGCGCGCTGTACGAGGACATGGGGTACGCCGGGGGTGGCGTCAACGGCGCGTTCCGCTGGCGCGATCTTGCCCTCTCCGAGCTGCTACCCCTCGACCCCGCGAAAGAGGAAGCCGTGCGCGCGATAGAGGCGCGCAAGATGGCCAGCGGGGCCACCGCGACGGCGGGCGTCCCGCAGGCCGGCGCGGGGGCGCAGGAGCCGGCGCAGGAGCAGGATCGAACGATCGACGAGGAAGACGCGGAGGACGATGAGGATGAGAATGCGGAGGATGAGGAGGAGGAGGACGGGGAGGGTGATGCGGAAGAGGAGGATGAGGAAGAGCAAGGCTGAGCTCGAGCCCGAGCCACCCGTTACTCGATCGCTGTGAGATCTGGACGCATCTCGTTTTGCGCTTGGCATCCGCGTACCCTTCATCGGGATACAAACCACTACATCTGGCGCCGCTGGATAATGTGTTCGCCCTTCCCTTCGTTGCACCGGTCACAGTGCTGCGAGCGCTGGGTCATCTTCGGGCGCGACCTTCGCATCACGGAGAAACGGAATCTCAAAACCACCCGAAACGATCCCGTGTTTCGAGTCGTTTCGATCGGCTCAGAGCGTAACGAGGCGGGATGGATGCAGTGAGCGCTGGTTGCTCTGACTTCATTGCTTATGTTTGATCCGTGACATGTATGCTGCCGCGGAATCTTTTGAGTTTGTGAATCTTGTGGGAAGCAGGTGGCTCTCACATTCGCGGGATCGTTACGACGGTTTCGTAATCCCTCGTTGCGCTCCTACCGCTCTTTCTTGGCTCCGGATTGATTCGTCGAGGGCGGGCTCGGCCTTCGTTGTCCGGGTAAAGCAAAAGTTTCAAGCCAGTGAGATGGTGCATCTCGGTGACGACGACATAGTCAAAAGCTGAACCTATATGGATTAATGCAAGTAAATACGAGACACTATAGCGCGACCGAAGAGTAAGATAAGGACATCTAAGACTATTAGGAAAAACAGAGCTAGGATGAGAGCAACCACGGCAGAGAGCGAGGGGGGCATATGTATGAGTTAAGAATTATGTAGGCGAAATTATCTGTAAGAGAGGAAGTATGCCGACAAGGCGGGGAGATCGTTGGCGCCCGCCTCTGTGTACGCCTGTCGGCGGGCGCCGCTGAACTTGAGCGCCACCACGTTACCGCACCAAGCCTTCGGCGCGGCCCCCGACGTGATATGATAGATGGGTCGGTTGATGGGGGATCCCTTTGCCAAGGCGATGGGTGAGAAAAATATGTGCAGCGGAAAGCGCAGCGGTTCGCCGTTGAGGCCTTGGGTGAGCACGACGCTCTCCGGCGGCGAGTCGAAGTACGCCTGGAGCAGCGGCACCGGGCAGACGGCCTGGAGTCCACGGATCTGAGCTGGCGGACGGCATTTCACGGAGATGAATCGTGGTCGTTCTATGGCATTTAACGCGTCTGAATGGCCGAGGGAATATCGGCAGCGCGTACCTTCATCCGAGACGAAGAGGACACCGGCAGTGGATATGTGCTCGGCCTCAGTGGGAGACGGCGTGGCGGTCAATCGTGGGCTACTCTGCGGCGAGCCTTGGCATTGTTCTCGATGATGCGGCCAGTCCTAGAGCTAGGCATTGAGCGAGACGGTCGGGACACCGGAGGCGACTTGCCTGTCGGTAATGCTCTTCGGAGCAATACCACGCATTCTGGCAGAGACTACACCAATGGGTCGTGGGCAGAGAGCAGATCCGACAAGCAGTACGCGTAGAAGACGGCATAGTTGGAGTTTAAGCCGAAAGCTGCGACAGAGAGGGAGAGGAAGAGAGAGGGAGAGAGAGGGAGAGAGATGAATACGCCCTTGAGCTGGGAGACATACCGTCTCGGTCCACCCTTATATCCGGCAAAATATCGAGTCGTCGTTTGAACATGTTGCCTTGTTCACAGTGAGATCGAGATTTGCATCAGTGGGTCCAGGAACGCTGTGAGAGGAGAGATTGAAGGTCGACGTGGATGGGAAAGAGCAACGTATCCGTATGTAAGAAAAGAGGGCCATCGGGATCAGCACCCTTCCTGTCGTTCCATTTGCGGCAAAGTCGCTAATGAGCGTGACCGCACACTCAAATGCATCATTCGCTCTCCCACTTATCTGGCAATGATGTAACCTGAGCAAAGGAGTACGTACACATCCTTCTATGTTCTTGATGCCTGAGCGCATGGGATCCATTTTGGAAGGCCGGAGATATTCTCAGGCATCAGACGAGTGAACCCCATTATCCGATTGTGTATGAAAGGTGCCAGGACTTGTAACGACGTCACAAAAGGGTCAACGCAGGCCAATGTTGGGACTCATCGACTTGTCTAGCACCGAAAATGAACCCAAGAAGCGAAGCTAGATGTTTGTCCAAGTAGGCCGATCTCAGAGCAATATGTGGCTGTGGCGATCGTCTCAAGGCCTAGGCCCGTATATCTCCGGAAGTGCTTCCGTCCATTCAACATTCGAAGCCTCAGAGAGGCTCCCAGATATGCACACCACTTCTGCTGGTTTTTGCTCTCAAATAATTAAATGAGTGTAATGGACCAGAATGACAGAGAATGACTCAGACATCTGCGGATCCACAACTCGCGCAGAAGGCCCGACTGACTGAACTTCTGTAAGCCGACCAGCACAAACGCCGGGAGTATAGCAGTGACTGTGCAGCTCGGCGGAGATCTCAACATTTGTGAAACGTCCACTGGGCCGTTTCCATGCAAACGCTTGCTACAAGTTCTTAGTACCGACCATCGCACAAACCAACTTAGCGAGAAACCACCAAGTCACTTTCCGGCCAGCAGAAAAGACCGCCCACCGGGCAACGGCGGAGGAGATCACATCCGGCCATCCTTTCGGGGTTTGTAAGAAAAAAAAATGGAGGACTCACCCCAGCTGCAGGCTGTCAATCAACGCTGAGACTGGATGACTTTTTTTCCCTGAGACAGACATCAGAATGACTTGAAAAAGGCTGTCTAGTTGAAACACTGCGAGCTTAGTGGTTTTCCAAAACAGTATCGCGAGATTCCTAGTCAAGTCCCGGCCGCGTGAGTCCTCGCGTGCACGTGGTGTGGCACTCAGTCCCTATCGCAGCTAGAAGTGTACCGTTAAAGCAGATATGGAGCCCACTGAACTGTGGAACGGTCTACCGCCATGGGTTCCAGGTCCGGTCCAGCCCAGTCCAGTCGCCTTGGACTCTCCGACCCGAGACCCTCAACCGCATCTTCAGAAAGGAAACAATAGATCACGTGTCATGTGTCACAGCTAACGGTCACGATCGCGTCCCCACTCAACCACATTCAGTGCAACCCACCAAGTTGCTCCATCCAGCATGTCCGACGATGAAATGAACATTGACGACGGTGAACCATCCCATCCCACACTCTCCGTCTCACTGAACAAGTTCTCCCCATCCAGTCGGTGCTAGAGGTGCCGTGCGCAGACGTGGACGTGGATTCCAAAACCCGGGTACGCCTGCCTGTTCACGATGCGGCACTGGCATTCACTCTGACTGCGCCATACCCATTCAGGAGGTAACGACGGAACAGTTACTGCGGAGCCTACGTACGACAGAGTTGAGAGCTCGCATGCTAAGGACGATACCCGCGCCGCCCGATGCAAGTCCCTTTCTTCGACCCTTCGTCCACCTCACATTGACCCTGTGCATCCCTGCAGCCGTCGAGGGGTGGATAGTCCTGGTTACAAATGTACACGAAGAGGCAACCGAGGAGGACGTGACGGACAAGTTTGCTGAGTTCGGGGAGATAAAAAACTTGCATCTCAATCTTGATCGGCGCACGGGCTATGTCAAAGTCCGTCTCCTTTCTCTCGCTTCCAACGCCGCTCAGGTGCTGACCGCCCCGTCAGGGATACGCCCTGGTCGAGTATGAAACAATGAACGATGCTCAAGCTGCTATCGACGGTGCATCGGGCACCACGTTGCTGGAGCAGACTCTCCAATGCGACTACGCATTCGTTCGGCCGCCCCCAACCGGCCCGAAGAAGGGGGGAAGAGGACAAAGAGGGCGCAGTGCTAGCCCAAGTCGCCGCCGATGAACATGTACCTTACTTAGTTATCAGCATTGATTGTAAAGAGCGTGCAATCGTTTTGCGTTTGTTGACTAGTGTGACTGTTGTGTCACGCGTCGCATCTTGCCCCAGCACTCACCCGTGTTGCAATGCCTGTCAAGTCTGCGGCAAGCGAAGACCAGACGAAGTCGAAGAGATCGACCCCTGCTAATGGCAAGAAGACTGGCTCCGAGGCTGGGGACAGCGAGGGTGTGAGCGATGTGGCAGAGACGGAGGAAGCAGAGGGCGAAGACGACGAGGAGGAAGAGTATGAGATAGAAGTCATCCTGGACATGAGGAAGGAAGGTGGAGTACGTGTCTCCCTGTCTTAGACGATGCATATCGTGCTCTCGTCGCGTCGCTGACCACTCGTGTACAGGCAAAGAAGTCGTACTTCGTCAAATGGAAAAACTATGGCGATGAACACAATAGCTGGGTCACTGAGGAGGATGCAGGGTACGCGTCCAAGCCTTAACCTAGATACCTAGTTCGTTGACTTGAATGGGGCACCGTCTTCACAGCAATGCGCAGGAGCTCATCGACGAGTTCTTAGCTAAGCGCAAGAAGAAGGACGCCGCGGCCGAGTCTGCAAGTGCACGGAGACAGGGTGCTCGCTCCTCTATGACTGCAGCGAACACGACGGATGACGCGTCCGACGACGAGTCTACGTCCGTTGCAAAGAAGCGCGGTCGTAAGTCGGAAAGTGCCCAAGCTCGTTCAGCTAAAACGGGAGGGAAAGAAAAGGCCGACGAACGACCAGCAAAGAAGCAGCGTACGAGCAGGAAGGCGACTCAGGAGCAAGAACCGACAGAGCTCCCTGCAGAAGACGAGCTTGGGGACATGTCAGAGCACATGTCGGTCGCTTCCTGGGATCATCTCGTCGACCGGATCGACACCGTTGAACGATCTGGAAAAGAACTCCAGGTTTATTTTACCTTGTACGTCTCTCTACCTTCTCCATGGTCGGTCGGAATATTCAGAGCGGGAAATAGGAAAGATGGCCGACGTATCAGAGAGCAGTCTTCTGTCTGCGCGGAAAAGCTCCCTAGGATGGTGTGATCCGTGTCTTTCTTCTGTTTATTAACTGGCTCACTATCGCGTCTTCAGTTGATTGACTTCTACGAAGCCAACCTGCGGTGGAGGGAGGCTACCGCCGCGAATTAGAGCGCCTACTCGACGATCTAATAGGATGCTTTCGAAATTGTTGTAGTCTTCTCTGTGCACATCTCCAGTCATACTGACGCCTCTTATCTCTTGGTCAAATCCTGTTTCTGACGTGGTTATGATTCGATGTCGTACACCATTGCAACGAAAGAGTAAAATCCGAGGCCGGGGGAGGTCATTGATTGGCGTGTGTCACGCTGGGAAGAAGGGGCTTTCTCAATCCGCGTTCTCCTCCTCGGATGGAGATATAGAGGAAACATTGACATCACTTCAGGATGACAAAGGCATAGGCATAAGCATGCGGAGGCTAAGTAAACAAATGAAAGCAAATAAGTTATCCAATCCAATGACGGCCATCCGACAGTGACAACAAACTGATTACAACTCTTCGTGCTCGACAGCAGCAACGTAGTTCCGCATAGCCTCCTCAACTTGTTCGGAACTCTTGCCGATGAAGATCTCGGCGGAATCAACATTTACGGTCTTCTTCTCCTCCGGCTCGATGGGCAGAATCGAAACTGCGGGGTCAGCCTCAGCGGCTGCAGTCTCCCTGACAGAGGTATCATCTGGCACAGACGACTCCTCCGCCGGTGTTTGCTCCATCGGCGTCTCTGCCAAAGGGGTGTCCTCTTCTTCAGGCGGTGGAGTAAACAAAAGCTCCGCGTCCTTCTTCATACCCTCTAGCCGCGCAGAGAAGCCGTTGACGAGAACAACTAGTTCTTCGTTCAAAAGTTCCACTCGCTTCAGGAGAGGGTCGATCGGGGGATGGGAATGAGTTCCTCCTTGAATTTCAGAGGCTTCTGCCTGGAACTTCTCTCCAACTGCAAAAGCTGTGTGATGAGAGCTGGATTAGATGCAAGGAGATTGGACGCACTGCGAGCAAGGTCGTGGTACACTTGCCAATCCATCCATGTTACATCGGGCAACCAAGACAAATCAAGGCCCACGTCACCCTGCGCTTGACTGCAGGCATCCTTGACTTCTTGAATGATCGACATTCCCTGAACAACAGATCAGAGATTAATTCCAAAGCTGCACCCAAGTTTGCACTTGCCTGGGCGACTTCATCGTTCTTTTCATCGGCATGAAACTGCCCGATGACTGTATGCGTCTCGGTCACCTTGTCCTGGAGCTTGTTCTCGACCTTGGCTGTCACAGCCTGCCACTTGCCGGCCCGAGAGGCGTAGTCCTGGCTTTTGGACTTGTGCTCCTTCTTCAGATAAGACTCCAGTCCTTTGAGGAGCTTCTCGCCCTCTGCTTCCAGTCCCTTAAGGGCACCGCCGACTCTAGTGCGGACATCGTCGATCTCCGCCACACCCTTCTTGCGCATCGACACGAGCATCTTGCGAAGGTCTTTCCCCTTTTCCTGTGCCATCTTGGTCAATCGCTCAGTGGAACGTGCCATGCGACTTTCAACATCAGCCCGATCCTCGATAGCCTTGCGAGCCTTGATAGCTGCTTGCTCAGCCTCCATTCGCGCTTCAATTTCGGCAAGTTCCTCCGGCGAGTAGTACGCTTCATCCGTTTCGGTTATTGGCGCCTCAGGCTCCTCAACGAGACCAATGTCATCCAAGAAAGAAAGGAGTTCGGGGTCCTCCTCCTCCTCGGCAACAACAACAGCCTCGGGCTCGGCAGCGGCAGCTTCGACTGGAGAGCCCTCGTGGACGACTTCGGCGGGCAAGTCAGCTTCGGATTCGGATGCGGCGATAGCGTCGGCGATTTCTTCAACGAGTGCCGACTCCATGCCATGGGCTGACGCAATGACAACAGACGCGGCAGAAATCTCCTCGGCGACGCTTGCGGGTACGGCTTCTTCAGTCACTTGAGCAGCGGCAGAGAGAGCAGACGACGACGAAGACACAACTTCGGTCGCGGTCGGCTCCTCGGCTGCAGTTGACGACGGGGTTACAACAGGGATGTCTTCTTCAGCAGTGACTGCTGCCGCCGTGGGCTCAGCAGATTCGGTTGTTGTAACGACAACTTCCTCTGGCGTCGCTTCGGAATAGACGGTGGCAGATTCTGTGGTTGCAGCCGTCGACGTGAGGACCTTCTTCGGAGTAACAGTAGCCGGAGGGGCTGGCTCCTGACCGCTCAACTCGAGCACCTTGTCCCACATGCGGATCACATGCGGATCCACATACGTGCGACGAGCCTGTCCAGCTTGAGCAGCGATTGCTGCACCCGCGGCAAGACCATGCTCGAAGCCTTTGAGCAGATGGGGACGCGCGACCTCGTAAGCTTTGATCGCGTGCGGTTTCACCACAACGTAGGCTTGCAGAATCCGGGGCTGGACACTATCCGAATAGGCGCGGTGAACGAGAGTCGCGTATTTTTGGGCTGCTAGTTGTGCCTGGAGGATATGTGGTGCAGCGCGAGCAAGGTAAGGGTCCAGGTGCGGCTGTGCGTGTGTCCTCCATTGGGGGACAACGTGTTTGCGGAAGGAGGGCACGATAATTCGATCCCAGCCAACGCGTTTGGCATGTATAGCGTAGCGGACTGCTGTGAGAGTGATAGGGCGCAGAGTAGTTCGTTCGATCCGGGTGGCCGCTTCGACGTAGGGTGCGACGGAGGGATGAGACAAGGCGTGTTCGAGTGGAGGAAGAACATAGGGCTCGAGGACGTGTGTGCGGTATTGAGAAAGGGATCGACATATCGGATTTGAGAGCTCTTCGTCGTACGGGCAGTTGGTGAAAGCGTAATACACAAAGGAAAAGAAGAAGACATAGAGCAGCGTGTCCCACCAGCTGCGCGATTGCTGAGAAGAAAGGCGCGTCAGCTTCGAGCTCCACCATATCGCGACACGATGCAGGCAGGAGCTTACGTGCCTTGGCTGGTTTTTTATGGTGCTTGTGCTTGTGCTTTACTTTCGGATGAGATTTTGGTGACGTCGTTGTCTATAACGGTGTGAGAACGAATGAGCATTGCAAGCATGGCCGAAAGCACTAACGCTTTTTAGTGCGGAGTTCGTTGCATCCTTCCCTGTTGATATCTCTGTTCCATTCGTAGTCGAGTTCGCTAACGTCGATGACGTTTTGGGCTTTGTCGCACGGGGGACTTGGGCGGTTGAATTTGTGCGGGAGCCAGCCGGCACCGGGGCGACTGGCGTCTTTCGTTGTACGACCATCGCGTGGTTCCGTTGTAAATGGAGCGAGGATGAGAATAACAAGGAGTGAAAGGGAGTCGGTCAATAACTTAGTAACTCCAACGACGTGGAACTGATGCAATGCTTGTTTGGCTGTGTTGCACGCATCTTTGTTCCCCCATTCATCGCAAATGGCGGCATCTGTTCCGTCCAAGTCTGTGCACCAGGATACCACGCATACAGTAGTATCGATTGATGTTTCGGGAAAAACTCCAGGCGCTTTCAACGTGGCTTCAATCAAGCTGAGCGTCCTGTCGAGAGGCTCTGCTCCCCGTGGAGGTAATTGCGACATAATCTCGGAGCCCCGCGAAGGGCAAGAACATGACCTCCACGACCAGGCCATTCTCGAAGACACCCTTCATCTGATCTTCCGCAACTAGCTCGCCCTCGTCAGAATCTGCCTTGTAATCCAAGCCCAATTCCTGTAGCTTCTCCTTCACGCGTTCCACCAATCTGATGCCCCCTGCTACGTTCACGGTCGCCTGTGTCATGAGCTCGCTGTACTGTCCTCTGTCCGATGCGTGCATGTTCTGATGGTGGTTCGTGAGCGTGTCGAAGCCCTCATACGTGATGTCGCATGCATCATACGCTGAGGACGCTTCGTAGTGACTGCGGTAGGACACAGTCACCCACAGCACCTTAGCTTTGGCCTGTATATCACGCATCTCGGATTGAATATCCATAGCTGACGAGGTGGAGAGAAAGGTGGATGTATCCGCGCCAATCGACAGCGCTGATACGAAATATGACCCGTACATTTCGTGGAATTGATCAGGAGACGCGGCCAAGATAGTTCGAGACTCCGCGGAAAGTGTCGGCGATGAGGAGAACGTGATGTGCCCTATTCGCAGCGATGCTTGCAGGGATACTTTATTGCTCTGCATTCATCAGCCATCTTCTGGAGTGAAAGCTTAACGCGACGAACATCTCTATTCATGGCTACATTCTTTGCAAAAGCCCCGCGACCAGACGCGCCAACGAGAGATCCTCCAGCTGACAGATTCATGCTCATGTCGAGATGCTCATACGAAGATGCGCTGGCTGTAGATGAGCTCTGTCGAAATGAGTTCACTGCGTCGGCTGGTTTGAAGGTTATGCTCGCGCTAGGAGGATCCAAGAGCCCAGCAAACGCAGACGGCCGAAGCCGCAGGTCGCCTTCGCCGGGTTTGGAGTTCCCCGTCTGAGAGATGTCGAGGCCTGTCCCCAGCACGACGCGTTTGCGCGTCCACGGCACGTACACGGGGGTGTTCTCGTGCGCTTGATACGGTACGCTTGGGACGTTCGGGTCGAGAGGTAAGAGCTGATCCAGTTTTGCGACATCAGACATATCGAGTGGGGGAGAGCTGGGGGCTGCCGGAGGTGAAGAGAAGTATTAGACAAGTGTCGGATTCCGTTCCTGAGGGAATCGCTTTGCCGGATCATCAGTGCTGTCCGCTAACTAAAGGGACAGGGCGAAGAGACAGCTGCATGGGCGGCATGTGAAGACATTGCAAACAGCAATGAATTATGACAAGAACCAGAGATAGATTTTAATGCAGGCCCGGGAACGAGGAGACTGTCTAAGGAGAGCTGTGCAGAGAGAATAATGCGAAGCCTGAGAGCGGCAAGGCTCCTCGGGGCCGACCAGGTAATGACGGGATCAGCTGACGGAGATAGCCGAAACGGTGGCCGCGCTTCTCTCTGCCGGTGTCGCGGTGCACCTACACAGACCTATACTTGCTTTACTCTGTGCATGTCAGCTGCCTGCTGTGTCCTCCTATTCGATATGAAACAAAACCATCAAGGGAATCTTCCATACGCGCTGTGTGCTCATCTCTTTGAAGCGCGAGGCACAACAACGATCCTGTTGCCATTGCCCAAACACGCAGAATACTCCGGCATTTAGGTCACTCGAGGCGCGCTATAAAACAAGCGGGCTTGGGAAAGATGCCCCAGATATTCTACCGAGAAGAGACGCTCCCAAGATGGCGATGCTGCTCGCTCCGTACAACGACGCGATGCGTCTAGGCATGGGGTGCGCGCGTTTTATCTCACCAGAAGATCCATGAGATTGACATGGACGCAGCTTCAACTCCTTCACTCAGCAGCTGTGTATCAACGACTCAGTCCGTCTGGAGGGCGGTCAAGGTCAACCCGCAGTAAGCGTGTCAGTCTCGCGTCGCGTCGCTGTGCTCATCCTCTCGGCACAGTCAGAAAAGAATCTGCGGCCTCAATACAAATTTGGCCAGATGTCTGGTGCAGATGGTGGAAACGTCGATATTAGTCAGGATGTCACCTGGACCGCCAAGTTTGTCGATAGGATCTCTGAGATCACGGACAGCTTGAATGTCGGTGGTAAATGACCCGCTT